CCAAAGGACTACCAGAGGCAGAAGACTCGTCGACCGGAACGACCGACGGGAGGGGGGTGACGTGAGACACACCAGAGGGGGCCGGACGGGGGGGCGGGGGGGGGGAGGGGCAGGGGCCACCAGGGAGGGAGGAACCAGGAACAGGGGGGGAGTAACCGGGGGACCACGGTGGGGAAAGCGGCGGTAGAAGGAGACGGACTCGTCAAAGGTGACGTCGCGAGAGTGAAAGAAACGGTGAGACGGCGGGTGGTAGAAGTGCCAGTCGGACGCGTCAAGGGGGAAACCGAGGAAGACGCAGGGGAGGGTGCGGGCAGTGAGCTTGTCCGTGCCAGAGGCACGAACGTGAGCAAGGCAGCCCCAGACGTGGAACGCAGACGCGTCACCAGGGGACCCGGTCCACAGAAGGGTCGGCGAAACCTGCGGCCGCTGGGGGTGCGGCCACAGGTTAAGCTGGTGAGCAGCGTAGCGCACGGCGAACGGCCACAGAAAATGGGGTGCACCGGCGTGGATCATGGAGGTGCGAGCCACCTCCATGACCAAACCGATGCGTCGCTCAGCGACCCCATTCTGCTGCGGGGAGTCCGGCAGGGTAAACGTCTGGGTGATGCCCTCCGCACGACAGAAGCGACCAAGGACACCTGAGGCGAACTCGCCACCCCGGTCGGAGTGGAGGCGCAAGGCAGGGAGACCGCGGTGGAGACGAGCAGAGACAAGCCAGGGGATGAGAACGTCAGGCACGTCGGCCTTCCGCTCCAGGGGAAAGACGGTGGTGTAACGTGTGAAGTCGTCGACAAGCACTAGGAAGAAGCGCTCGCGACGCGGCCCATGGACCGGGGCTGGGCCCCAGACGTCCATGTGCAGAGTCTGCAGGGGTGCGGTGGTACGGGGAAAAGAGGAGGAGTGAGGGGCACGGCGGAGCCGGCCCTCGACACAAGGCGTGCACGGTGGGGCGGGGGAGGAGGGAAACTCAGGGAACGAACCGGGGAGACCAAGGACGAGACCGTGCTGGGACATGTGACGCAGACGCGGGAGTGCAGGGTGACCAAGGCGGTGGTGCCAAAGGAGAGTCGGATGAGTGAGGGACCGACAGGAGCACGCAGCAGCAACCTGGGTGGACGCAGCTACCTGGGGGGAAGACCCAGCCGGGGACGTCGCGGTGTCAAGTGTGAACAGGCCGGACACCGGGTCCCGGGGGAAAGTGGTAAGGGGGGCACCAGTGGCGGCCTCGGTACAGACAGCATACCGCTCGTGACCAGGGAACGTAGTGGTGACGCCAAGGTCCTGGAGGCAGCAGACACCAACTAGGTTCCTGGAGAACGAGGGGATATGCAGACCGGTGAGCGAACCCGAAGGAACCGCCGGACAGGGAAGGGAGGTGGAACTGCGGGCAACGACGGGACCACCGGAGGGGTCAGCAAGAGTAACTGCGGCGGGAACAGGCAGCGGCGTCAGCGTCGTGGAGTCGCGGAAGAAACACCGGGAGGCGCCAGAGTCCAAGGTGAAGGAAAGCGCAGCAGTCGCGCGGGGCGACAGTGAAGCGGTGGAAGCACCGAGGCTAAGCAAAGCAGGAGATCCTACGCCTGACGCAGCAGGGGAGTCTACGCTAGGCACAGCTACACTAGGCAACACGGGGTAATAAGAGGGAAGCACACTAGAGTCATCGGCATACATCACATGCAAGGCTGCTACAATGGCATCCATGTCCAAGTCAAAAATCCGAATGCTACGCCTAAGCAAGCTGTGCCAGTCCGGGAGGTCGGGCGCCGGGCCAAAGCGCTGGCGGAACAGGTCGTCCAGACGACGAAAACAGCGAGGAGTGGAATGACCGATCTTACCGCAAACGAAGCCGCGGCGAGGACCGGTCTGGATCTGGTACTGACAGGGCCCACCTCCAGAACCACCACCCGGTGCACCACCACGCGCACGACCACCACCAGCTCCAGGCCACCCAGACGGGAGAGCACTCGCCGGCCTCGTCTGCGGCGGCTGCTGCGGCTGCTGCGGAGGCTGCGGCTGCGGCGACTGCTGCTGCTGCTGCTGCTGCAACGGTGGAGGCAGCGGGGCAGCTGGACCGGGCAGGGTCCCCACGTCCGCACCGGCACCGGACGACCCGCCTCCACCACTACCCCCACCCGCACCCCCGCCGCCTCCGCCGCTCCCAACCTTGGGGCGGCGGCCCTTCCCCGAGCGGGACTGCACTGCAGCAGCAGTCTCAGCCACAGCGACAGAGCCGTCGGAGAAGGTACACTGAGCGGGGGCACAACCCTGAAAGATAGGGACCGGTACTGAACCGCTCGCTTGGGCTATGGAGCGGTGACGAGTCTCTATGGCAGTCAGGGTGTCAACAAAGTCGGTGAGGGTGAGAGCAGCAGGGTGGATGCTAAGGAACTGGTCGCGGGCGGCGGCAAGGCGGTCAGGGAGGCGGGTGGCAAGGAGGTAGAGGGTAGAGGTCATGGGAGGCTGGTGGACTCTAAGCTGTGCATCAGTGCAGGCAGCGCGCCAGGCCTCATCTATCGAGCGCAGGTGGGCAGCGAGGTCAGAGACAGTGGGGAAAGACGCCAGGTCAGGAAAGAGCAGGGGGAGGATCAGGCGACCCACTGAGGCAGCAGGAGGGGTAGAATAGCGCTTGATGACAGCATCGAGGTAGGCCTGGGCGGTAGTAATGGTTCTAAAGCGAGGGCGCTCAGGGGGGGGGAGGGCATTGCTAATGGCGAGCTGAGCAAGGGCATCGCGGGAAAGCCAGACAGAGCGGGCAAGGGCAGCGGCGGCAGTGGACTCGCGCTCAGCGGGCGTGGGATCAGCGGGCAGCACAGCAGGGGGGTCAGGGCAGGGGAGCATACCGTCTAGGTGTGCAGAAAGCGGGTGGCCGTCCTGCCGCTGACCGGTGAGGTGGCGGCGAAGGTCAGCCAACCACGCCTCGAACTCCAGAGGCTGACCCTCAGCATCAAAACGAAGCTCAGAAGCCATGAGGGGCAGTGGAGGACAGTGGAGTGCGGTGTAGTGCTGTGCAGTGCGGTGCAGGGCGGTCCAGTGCGGTGCAGTGCGATGCAGTGCGGTGCAGTGCGGTCCAGTGTGGTGCAGTGCGGTCAGTGCGGTCCAGTGAGGTGCAATGCGGTGCAAGGCGGGCAGGAAAGTGCAGGAGGGTGCAAAGTGGTGCGGGGAACGGGGGACAGTACCAGGAAGTATGGAGGGCCGGGGCAGGCGCGACGGGACCGGGCAGGCGCGACGGGGCCGGGCAGGCGCGACGGGGCCGGGCAGGCACGACGAGGCCGGGCAGGCGCGACGGGGCCGGGCAGGCGCGACGAGGGGCCGGGCGGCTGCGACGGGGCCGGGCGGCAGCGACGAGGCCGGGCGGCTGCGACGGGGCCGGGCGGCTGCGACGGGGCCGGGCGGCAGCGACAAGGCCGGGCGGCAGCGACGGGGCCGGGCAGGACACAGCAGGGCCGGGCGGGGGCGACGGGGCCGGGCGGGCGTGACGGGGCCGGGCAGGTGCGACAGGGGCCGGGCAGCTGCGACAGGGGCCGGGCGGGCGCCACGGGGCCGAGAGGCCGTGACAGGGCCGAGCTGGGGCGACGGGGCCGAGCAGGGGCGACGGGGCCGAGCAGGGGCGACGGGGCCGAGCAGGGGCGACGGGGCCCAGGAGGGGCTCGACGGGGCCCAGGAGGGGCACGACAGGGGCCCTGGAGGGGCGCGAAGGGGCCCAGGAGGGGCGCGACGGGGCCCAGGAGGGTGGCTACGGGGCCCAGGGAGGAGCGCGGCAGGGCCCAGGAGGGGCGCAACAGGCCCAGGAGGGGCGCTACGGGCCCAGAAGGGGCGCAATGGGGGCCCAGGAGGGGCACGACGGGGCCCAGTAGGGGCACTACGGAGCACAGGAGGGGCACGACGGGGCCTGGGAGGGGCGCGACGGGGCCCAGGAGGGGCGCGACAGAGCCCAGGAGGGGCGCTAGGGGGCCTGGGAGGAGCGCGACGGGGCCTGGGAGGGGCGCGACGGGGCCTGGGAGGGGCGTTACAGGGCCCAGAAGGGGCGCTACGAAGCCCAGGAGGGGCGCGACGAGGCCCAGGAGGGGCGCTAGGGGGCCTGGGAGGAGCGCGACGGGGCCTGGGAGGGGCGCGACGGGGCCTGGGAGGAGCGTTACGGGGCCCAGGAGGGGCGCTACGAGGCCCAGGAGGGGCGCGACGAGGCCCAGGAGGGGCGCTACGGGGCCCAGGAGGGGCGCGACGGGGCGCTACGGGGCCTGGGAGGAGCGCGACGGGGCCCAAGAGGGGCGCTAGGGGGCCTGGGAGGAGCGCGACGGGGCCTGGGAGGGGCGCGACGGGGCCTGGGAGGGGCGCGACGGGGCCTGGGGGGGGGGCGCTACAGGGCCCAGGAGGGGCGCTAGGGGGGATGAGCGGAAGCGGTAGGTGGGGGGGATCCTACCTACGCGTGATACCATATCAGAATTAGAATTGAATAATTAGAGAGAGAGAGAGTACACAAACATATACCTAAATGTTGTACTCTCTAGAAGGTGACCCTATACAGTCTATACAAACATGATAACTACACATGTTTGACAAAGGGTAGGGAGGATGAAAGGCGCGGACGAAAGGTGCGGACGAGAAATCGTCATTGGAGTGTTGACGGCATGGAGGGGAAGGCGATTGCGGGCGGGATCACAGATAATCTGTGCCCGACCTAACTTCGATCTGTTCTGTTCTGAGGAAATCTATTGCACGCATTTCTATCTCACCTGTCGGTGTCGTGGAAGATGCCGTCGACCCGCGCAGGTCGCGCGATGGCGAGCCCGGGGGTGCCCCTGCAGCCCGCGTCGGCGTAAAGCGCCACGCTCTTGCACGTGGCTCTTAGTCGACAAGCGCCTCCGGCTAGGCTACTTATCGATCTCCTTGATCTCACGATTCCAACGGTATGCTCAGAGTAGCTGAAAGTCGTCAATACGAGATGCAGCAATTTTCTGAATCCAATAATTCGGAATGAGATACAAAGCACAAACTGAAACAACACATATATGCATTTCGGATTTCATCGTGCTTCGTAACACTGCGTGCGTCTCGCTGTAACGTGTGCGCCTCGAGTCACCCCAAGTCGCACTCCACCGAAACTGAACGCGCTCCGCGTTGGTTTGGCACCGAAACCGACACTAAGTTCGGTTCCACTGAACGTGCACCGAATGCACTCCTCTTCCAACCTGCAATTCCCCGCACAACACTTCTAGTAGCTGCTGATTCCTCACGTCACATTTCCAGCAGTTGTGAACTTCTTCCTCCTCATTTCCACCTCTCATCTTCCCCGCTTTCCTCAACCACGGTTCTTCCGTGCTCCCACCGCATATCGCTGCATCACCGTTCCTCCTCCGCACCTAGTGCCGCCATCGTGCCGCTGGATTAGGGTAGGTCTGCCGTTGGGTAGGACAGCGCCGAACCATCTCCAACAGTGGCGTCGCCCGCCCCGGCGACCTTGGCGGAGTCCCACGCGATGGTGATCTTGGTGTTGCCGCCCAGGTTCACCGGCAGGCTCACGTCGCTGCACGGCTGATACACGGCGCTGGAGCCGACTCCGAGGCTGGGGCCGAGGGTGGAGGCGGGGTTGGAGTTGAGGGTGACGGTCTGCTCCGAGCGCCGCTCGTTCCGCGCCTGCTGCAGCCGCACCGTCGTCCGCATCAAGTCGCCTGGGGGCAGGGGCATGGCGACCGTTGATGGAAGGGTTGTGGTGACGATGACGTGTCGTGGCCGTTGATCATGGTTGTTGTGACGGTGATGGGGGTTCGAAGTCACCAGTTGGTGTGGCAGCAGGGGAGGAGGGAATGGGAGGGAGAAGGCAGGGGGGGGAGGGGAGGGGGAGAAGAAGGGGAGGAGGGGGTGATGAGGAGCGGGAATAAGCGTTGATGAGGGAAAAGAACGTCCTGCTGGAATGTTTCCTGGAAGTTTCCTGGTACCGCTGTATCTGGGGCCCCCAGACCTTGGGAGTCGTCCTTAAAGGGAGCGGAATAGGATCACGACCCATGAGAGAGGCCATTATGACGGCAGTAGGTCACCAAACCAACGCACAGGTGAGGCAGCCGGTTCAGCTCGTCCATGCAGCCGCGAGCACCTCTCAGCTCACCAGTCCACATGGCCGTTGGCTCACCACTCCACACGCCGTTGGCAGACGGTGCTCACCCCTCTCAGCTCACCAGTGCGGACGTGAGCACCTCTCAGCTCACCAGTGCGGACGTGAGCACCTCTCAGCTCGCCAGTGCGGATGTGAACACCTCTCAGCTCACCAATGCGGATGTGAGCACCCCTCAGCTCACCAATGCGGATGTGAGCACCTCTCAGCTCACCAATGCGGATGTGAGCACCTCAGCTCACCAGTGCCGGCGCGAGCACCGCTGAGCTCACCGGTGCAGAGGCCGTTCTTCAAGGCGTAGCCTACAACGCACTAGCATTCCGCCTTCCCGTTCACCACAGTGCACTGCGAGTTCACCTGGCACTTGGCTGCTGCACATGGGTCTGCCGCAGGCTCGCCCGTGCCTGACGTGGCTGTTGTGGTTGTGGTTGGGAGGCGGTGTAGGGGGGGAGGGAGAGGGGAGACTTATGAGTCGCAGAAGTTACCTTGGCTACGCCACATGACCCCGCCACAGGCTGGCCTGGTGTGGCTTTGTGGCTGGCACGGAAGGGGGGGGAGGGAAGGGGGTGGGAGGTGCGTTGAGAAGAAACAAGGAGGGAGGAAGAGAGGACAGCTTCACCTCTGACAAGCTGCCTGAGCTCGAGCCCCGTGTCATGCCTCATCCCCGTGTCACACCTCATCCCCGTGTCACACCTCATCCCCGTGTCACGTCTCATCCCGGTGTCACACCTCAGCCCCATGTCCGGGCCTTGTGTCACAGCAGCGGGGAAAAGATGAAGAAGCTTACCGACGCATTTGCCGTCCTTCATCTCCAGGCCCTTGTCGCAGGAGCACTTGGCAGCGCCGTTGACCACCGCACAGGAGGAGAGCGGCGGACACTGCGCGGCCACGCAGGGAGAGGGGGGAGCTGGAGAGAGGAAGAGAAGGGAAAGGGGCAGGGGTGTTGCGTGAAGGAGGTGTGCGAGGTTATTGCTCCTTTCTGCAGCAGTGCTGGAGAGAGGAGGGGAAGGGAAGAGAGGGGGAAAGGACAGTGGCGTTGCATGAGTGAGGTGTGAGAGGTGATGGCTCTTGTCTGCTCAAGCACTTGAGAGCGCCGTTGACTTGCGCACAGGAACAGAGAAAGCGGGCACTGGAGGGACCCACAGGACGAGGGGGGTGTTGAAGAGAGGAAAGGCGGGGAAAAGAGGCGAGGAAGGGGGCAGGGGTGGTGCACGAGAGGAGAGAGAGAGGCCACTCACTCCCCTTGCGGCAGGAGCACAGGGGAGCAGCTCTGACTTGCACGCAGGGGTGCTGGAGAGAGCAGGGCAGAGGAAGAAGGGTAACCGGGGCCGGGCTCCGAGGTAGGGGGAGAGGGGAAGGCAGGAGGGGAAGGAAGGGGGAGGGGATGGGAGAACGGGCGTTGAAAGAGTGAGCCAAGAGAGGTAGAGGCGCGTACGGGGAGGGCGAGGCGAATGTGCCAATGGCAGGGGCATGACCTGTGTATGGGGGGGGGGAGGGACAATGGGTGTGAGATTGGCCGTCGGGCATGGGTGCGGGGTATGTGGGTGTGAGATTGGCCGTCGGGCATGGGTGCGGGGTATGTGGGTGTGAGTACCTACCAGCACTCACCCTCACACCAGCACTCACCCACATACGAGCACGCACCCTCACACCAGCGCTTACTTTTGCACGTCTTGTCTGGTGCGTTGAAGACTTGGCCCAGCTTGCACACGCAGTCGGGGGTGCCATCAGCCTTCACCACGCAGTCAGCCTCCGCCCCGCAGGGCTTGCTGCTGCACACGCCTGGTGGGGGAAGAAGAGGAGACATTTGTTTATGAGCGTGTATGCACCCTCACACCAGCACTCCCCCTCACACCACCACTCCCCCTCACACCAGCACTCCCCCGCACACCAGCACTCCCCCTCACACCAGCACTCCCCCTCACACCAGCACTCCCCCTCACACCAGCGCTCCCCCTCACACCAGCGCTCCCCCTCACACCAGCACTCCCCCTCACACCAGCACTCCCCCTCACACCAGCGCTCCCCCTCACACCAGCGCTCCCCCTCACACCAGCACTCCCCCTCACACCAGCACTCCCCCTCACACCAGCGCTCCCCCTCACACCAGCACTCCCCCGCACACCAGCACTCCCCCTCACACCAGCACTCCCCCTCACACCAGCACTCCCCCTCACACCAGCGCTCCCCCTCACACCAGCGCTCCCCCTCACACAAGCACTCCCCCTCACACCAGCACTCCCCCTCACACCAGCACTCCCCCTCACACCAGCACTCCCCCTCACACCAGCGCTCCCCCTCACACCAGCGCTCCCCCTCGCACCAGCACTCCCAGCACTCCCCCTCACACCAGCTCTCACCATCGCACTGCTTGGTTGCTGCGTTGAAGACAAGGCCCTCCTTGCACGCGCACTCAGCAGCGCCATTCTTCAAAACGCAGGTAGCACTTCCGCAGTCCGTGCCGGCACACGCGTCTGGTGGCGATATCACGGGCTGGTCGCCTGGTGGGGAAGTTACGGGTTCGTCTGCTGTTGGGGAAGTCTCGGGCTGGTTGCCTGTTGGGGTCAGCAGAGGGGGAATTCGCCTGAGAGCGAGGAAGCCGAGGGAGAGAGGGCATTGCACCCCGCGCCATCCCCCCGTTCCCCCGTCTCACTCCACTTGCTATCCCATCGTTCCCCGTGCGTGAGCCTCATCTGTTGGCTCATTCGTGTGCTCGTCCCATCCCACGCGAAACACACGAAGCGAACGAAACGCACGAGGCGAGCGAAAACGCACGAGGAGAATGCCACATGTCCTCACGCGCTCGACAGCTGACGCCGTGACCAGCTAGAACGACCTGCACTTACCCGTGCTGATCTCGCACTTGACTGAAGCAGGCAAGCCGGTGAGGGTCCTGCGAGCGGGAGGGAACACAGAGGGCGTGCGGACGGAAATCTCTAGACGGCGTGCCATCCACTCGAACATAAAAAAGAACTCATTTCGTGCTTTCGGGGGGCAGGGGCTTTGGATTTTGGCTTTGGAAGTTGGCCTCAAAAGCTGGGGTGGTCAACAAGTTGGACGCTACGTTGAAAGTTGAACTTCAAGCACAACGAAGAAATAGTAACAGCTGTGGCGGCGGCTGCTCCTACTCCCCTGACACACGACTTCACCAGAAACTCCAACGGCCCACGGCGCCACTGACGGTGCAACGGCTGCGACTGGTTGAGGAAAACGCGCATCATACAGCGGGAAACGACAAGGTAAGGATGGTCGCCTCAAAAGCCGCTAGAGGCAGTTGAAACAGTAGCGCACGGCGAGTCGACTGGCAGTCGACTGTGAGTCGACTGTGAAGGCTCACCGTTAACACTGGCTCACCATTTGGTGTAGGATACGCGCCGGCTACCCCCGAGGGCCGCTCGAGAGGATCTCGCAAGGGGGTTATGAAGCCACACGGTGGAGTCCTTGGCTGCAGCCTTGTCCAGGACTCGGATAATGGGAGGGACTAGGGTGCTGCCTGAAGAGAAAGAGAGGGGCGGGCTCACTGTTCCGTGGCGGGGTAGGCGCCGTCGACCTTGGAGGGTCGCGCGAGCGTGAGGATGGGGCTGGCGCCGCAGCCCGGGTCGGCGAAGAGCGACACGCTGCTGCACGAGCCCGCCGCCACGGCGCCCTCAGGGGCACTGGCGAGAACGTCCGGCGACGCGTCCCACTTGACCTGCAGTCGCAGGCTGTCGCCGACCGTCGCATCGTCGCTGAAAATCAAGGGCTGCACCTCGCTGCAGGGCGCGGCGGCGTCGAAGACCACGCCTGTGGCCGCGCTGGGGTCGTTGGCGCCCGAGAAGTTGACGACCGTTGCGCGGAACGTCTGAGCGTCTGAAAGCAGGGGGAGAGGGCGGATGGCGGAGCCTGGTTTGAGGAACCGCATAGATAGACTGCCGTGGTCGTCGTTGGCGCCCAGAAGCTGACGACCGTCCCGAGCAACGTCGCGGGTCTGAAAAGCAGGGGACGAGAGCGAACAGGGGAGGCGATCTCTGAGGTGGTTCCTCATGACGCCTCAGAGGCGGTTGCGCTGCCATCGTTGTCGCCCACGAAGGTGGCGACCGTCGCGAGGAAATTGGAAAGAGATAAGGAAAGTCCGTGTTGAGTTGAGTGTGGGGGAATGAGAAGCCGGGAGTGGCGTTGAGGTTGCCCGGGGGGAACTTGACAGCCGTTCCCAGCGACGACTGCAGGGGGAGAGAGGGAGAGAGAGGGCGGACGGGGGATGATGTGCTTCTGAGGCACCTCATGCGTCATACACTCCTAGCTGGCGAGCCCGTCACGGTGAAGCCGACGTCCGTCGCGAGTAGCGCCTACTCTTCTGAAGGCAGGTAAGGAAGGCCCTTGGCGTCTTTGTTTCCCGTGAGCGTTGACCACCGTCGCCGCGAGTCGCGACCAGCGCCTGCGCAGCCTCTTTGTAGGGCGCCGCACGAGGTAGCGAGACGCGTAGGAAGGCCCGGGAACGACGGGGGGAATACCAGTGCGAGCCAGCCACATCGATGACGGCTCCACACGTGGATCAAGCCCGTGGCATTGTCGACCCTGCACGCACGATTACGTTCTGCGCGCGATGAATCTTGAGTAGGCCGTGAATGTGCGAATCGCACAGCCTTCGCACGTCGTTCCGCTTCGGTCGTGGTTAGCGAGCCACATTCGACTGCGCATGTGAAGCGCACAGGGAAAAATATTACCAGTGGCGCCGGCTTGTGCGATGAAGATGATCGCAACGAGCCCCAGGCCCGCAGCGAGGCGACGCGCCGCACAGGCGTTGCGCTCCATGGCGAGACGCGGAGCTCGAAAACGATAGCTTCAGCCTCGCGAAGAAAAGCTTCCATTTTCTGCCTCACGAGGATTGTGGCAGAAAGCGAGCGTGGCGTGAAAGGATAGGCTGATGCGCTTCGACGAGTGAGCCTCAGAAGGGCTGTGCTTCTAGAAGGCTGATGACAAGAAGCAAGGAGAGGTGTAGCTAAGGGAGTTGAGATGTTCAATATACGGCGAAAGAGGGCTGACTTATGTGCTGGTCGGAGGGACAGCGGAAATTCGAGCTCAAGTGTGCATTGCATTGATCGCGCTGGGACGTTTGGTTGCGGCATCTGCGGTAAGCGAGAGCGAGGTGCAATTCGCAGCTGGCTGCTGAACACGATACGAAACCCCTAGCGGCGAACACCCTGGGCTAGGGCTGGTCTTTGAGTCAGGTGGCCTGCCTATTTTGAGGGATAAAATGCGTGGCCTCCACATGCCCTCTGACTCTCGTCGACTAGTTTCGAGAAATTCGGATGAGCCCCCATTCTATATAAGAGTTTAGGCTTACGAAGGGCATACGGTATTGTGCAGCCTGCAGGCCCTCTGGCACAGGGGTTTCATTCAAGCTTGTACAAACAGCAGGATTTGTAAAACAATATTAATCTGGAATCTCTGATAGATTACGGAATTTGCTTTCAATTGTCAGCCGTCACTGACGGCCAGCCGAGAATGGCATTGGGTCGCGTTCGTGGAACACGTCACACGACGGAACTCCCTCTCAAGAAGCCAGGTGTGTCTCATCGCCAGGTGTACGGTGGATCTCCGGGCGTCTGGCTCCAGGCAGGATCCGAACAGGCTGGACTCCGCCGCATCTTCCGCTTGGTGGGGGGCAACCTTCTCCGCGGCAAATCCAGCGAGACGAACCCCCCACTCTGCGGTGCTGCTGTGCGCGAACCAATGTGTGCCTGAAAACCAAAAAAGTGTTTACATATAGACTGTCCTATTTGTGTCCGATTCCTACATGGATCCACGTTACAAAAACCCTGGAACTAAAAACCGGGTGAAAATGAAGGGTTAGGGGCATGTCAACAATTCTAAAGTTTAACTGGACCCTTCCAGAACGTAAAATATCTTAACGAACTGCAATCGGTTGTAATTTTATGACACCCTAATGGCGCCTTACAAGTGTTGAACTGTGAAAAGTTGACTAGAACAGGACACACATGGGTATATAGCCTAATGGATTGTACTCACAAAGGCACAACCCTATACAGTCTAACATACAATATATATGTTTGTACGTTTGACACACCCCCTAGACTGGATAGGGGCAGTGCTTGATGAGAGAGAAACAGCTTAGGGTGGCACTACTAGTCCAACCTCTGAGACAGGGGTCTAATGACCAGTCAAACGAGTACAAACAAGGCAAGAGCAAGACCAGGGTGGCACTATTCGTCCAGCCACTGGGAAGAGGCCACAAGGCCAGTCTGGGTAATATATATAAAGGTCTATACACAATCAAGGTCTTAGCAAGTGAGAGGCTACAGGAACGAGACCTAGCTGTACACTGTGCCGCTGATGATCTTTAGGTGCAAGCGCCTTACTAAAGATATTAGCTGTGTTGGCACCGGAGGCCAAGTGTACTACACGAGCCTGGCAACGCTGTTGCAGCTCGCGCAGGAGGAAGTACCGCAGTTGGATGTGCTTCGCTCTGCCCTAAAGTGGAGGCTCCTGACACATGAGGATCATGGCCCTATTGTCAGCGTACAGAACCAGGACAGAGCTAGGCCGCTCACCTAAGTCTGTGAGCAAGAAGGTCAGCCAGCGGAGCTCCTGTGCCGCCATGGCACCTGCATAGATCTCAGCCTCACAGCTAGATTGGGCAACAGACAAGGAGCGGGTGGACCTCCACGAGTTGGCACCTGCACCAAGGCTAAAAGAGTAGCCCTGTGAGGACCCAAGAGTCTCGGCGTCGACTGCCCTAGAAGCGTCTGTGTGCCCGGTAAGGACCACTGGTCTCCGTCCTCCTAGCACTAGCCTCATGCTCGATGTACTTGCTAGATAACGCAAATCCCTCTTAGCTGCCGACCAGTGGCCACAAAGCGAGCCTGGTTGCTGAGAGGGTATGGGAGATATGGACGAGTGCAAGTTATAAGGTAAATGAGGCAACCCACCAGCACTGTGTAGAGACCATTAGGCTGTACAGCCTCCTATGGGAATGGGGCAGAGAGTCTGTGGTCTACTGGCAAAGGGGTGGGCTGTGAGGAAGAAAAATGAAGGCCGAACCTCTGAAGGACCTGGCGCACCAAGTGTGACTGTGTGAGAGTGATGGTGCGCGCTGCTCTGTCCCTGGAGATCTGCAAGCCAAGGTAGCGGCGCAGCTCTCCTAGGTCAGTGCAGGTGTGTCTCCTCAGCAGCTCGGCCCAGAAGGTGGCCAGTGCGTCTCTGTCTACAGTAGTAAAGACCAGATCGTCTACGTAGACAAGGATATAAAACGGAATGTGGCCTGAACGGACAAAGAGCGAGGGTTCTGCAGACGAAGGGAAGAACTGCAAGTAAGCAAGTATAGCACGCAGCGTATCGTGCCACTCACGGGGCGCCTATCGCAAGCCGTAGACTGTGCGCCGGAGGAGCCACTCGGTGCCAGGGGGGAAGGTACCAGAGAAGCCGCGGGGGCGGCGCAGGTAAACCTGCTAGTGTAGACTGCCCTGAAGAAAAGCAATGGAGAAGTCGAGGGAGTGCAGCTCGTAGTCACACTGTGCTGCTACGTGTAGCAGCGCCTGAAGAGTGTTCATCTTCGGAGTCGAGGCGAAGGTCTGAAAGAAGTCCACCCCCTGTCTCTGACTAAAGCCTCGAGCGATGTAGCGTGCCTTGAAGACAGGCGGCTCTCCAGGAGGGCGCTTCACCTTGAAGAGCCGCCGGCCATTGACTACGTTCACCCCAGGTGGGAGAACTGCGTCGACGAAGGTACCAGTGGATCTCCAAGATGCCATCTCCTGCTCCATGACACCTTTCTACTAAGAGGCCCAGGATCCCGAGGTGGCCTCAGCGTAGGAACCCCAGTCTGGGTCACCCTCAGGGACTAGTATCATGGAACAGAGATGGGGAGCGGCCTTAGACAGGAAAGCGAGCTTGAAATGCCTGTCCTCTAGGACGTCACTGCCAAGAGCAGCCACACCCCCTATGGCAGGAGGACAAGCAGGGTCAAAGACTAGAGCGGTGGCGTAGTCCAGGCGATGGGTAGCGGCGAAGTCACTGAAAGCAGCGACAAGAGCCGACACACTCGAGACAGGAATGGAGGAGTCGGACACGAGGAACAAGGGGACGCAGCACGAAGGAAGTCCGAGAACGGAGGCGAGGCCACAGCAAGCGACGACGGAGGAGGAGACCGGAGGAGAGGAGGAGCACGAGATGCGTAAGAGCGAAGCAGCATAGGGTGTGAACCCGGAACAGGGGAGGTAGGACGAGCACGAGACGGACGACGAGACCAGACGTGAGACGGAGGAGTCAGATCAAGAGAGAGGGGAGGAGACACAGGAGGAGAACGAGGAGGGAAACTAGCCAGAGAGGAGTCCAGGGGAGGAAACACAGGGCCGTGGACCTTCAGAGGAGGAGGCGGCGGCAGCGGGGGAGGCAGCGACGGGCGGTCAGGATAAGGGAGACCAAGGAGGCGAAGAGCAGACACCGGCGGCGACAGCTGCGACTGCTGCCCGACTCCAACACCAGAACTTTCAGCGACAACACGGCTCGCTCCGAGAAGCCCCACGCCAGCATCCCTAGAACGCACGAACCCGAGCGACGGCGACGACGGCGGCTGCGGCTGCGGCGGCTGCTGTGGGGACAGCAGCGGCGGCAACAGGGGAGGCGAGACCGAGGCAGGGACAGGCGGGGGAAGAGACTCCGCCGAGCCGCAAGAGTCAGCAGACTCCTCAGCAGGGACAACCGACGGGAGGGGGGTGACGTGAGACACACAAGACGGGGCAGGGCAGGGAGGGGGGTGGACAGGGACGACCGGGGGAGGGGGGGGCACCAAGAACTGGGGGGGAATGAGCGGGGGACCACGGTGGGGAAAGCGGTGGTAGAAGGAGACGGACTCGTCAAAAGTGACGTCACGAGAGTGAAAGAACCTGTGAGAAGGCGGGTGGTGGAACTGCCAGTCCGACGAGTCGAGGGGGAAACCTAGGAAGACACAGGGGACAGTGCGGGCAGTGAGCTTGTCTTTGCCAGAGGCACGAACGTGAGCAAGGCAGCCCAAGACGTGGAACGCAGACGCGTCACCAAGGGACCCGGTCCAGAGGAGGGTCGGCGAAACCTGCGACCGCCGAGGGTGCGGCCAGAGGTTACGCTGGTGAGCGGCGTAGTGAACGGCGAACGGCCACAAAAAATGGGGTGCACCGGCATGGATCATGGAGGTACGAGCCACCTCCATGACCAAACCAAACCGATGCGACGCTCAGCGACCCCATTCTGCTTCGGGGAGTCCGACAGGGTGAACATCTGGGTGATGCCCTCCGCACAACAGAAGTGACCAAGGCAGCCAGAGGCAAACTCGCCATCACGGTCGGAGTGAAGACGCAAGACAGGGAGACCGCGGTGTACACGCGCAGAGACCACCCACGGGATAAGAGCATCAGGCACGTCGGCTTTCCGCTCCAGGGCAAAAACCGTGGTGTAGCACGTGTAGTCGTCGACAAGCACGAGGAAGTAGCGCTCTCGACGCGGCCCATGGACGGGGGCAGGGCCTCAGACGTCCATGTGCAGGGTCTGTAGCGGTGCGGTGGTGGGGGGGAACAGGGAGGAGTGAGGGGCACGGCGAAGTCGGCCCTCGACGCAGGGCATGCACGGCGGCGCTGGGGAGGAGGGCAACTCAGTGAACGACTCTGGGAGACCTAGGACAAGACCGTGCTGGGATATGTGACGCAGACGCGAGAGCGCGGGGTGTCCTAGACGGTGGTGCCACAGAAGTGTCGGGGGAGTAAGCGACCGACACGAGCAGGCCGCAGCAACGTGGGTAGACGCAGCCATCTAGGGAGACGTCCCAACCAGGGGGGGCGCGGTGTCGATCGTGAATAGGCCAGACACCGGGTCTCGGGGGAACGTGGTGAGGGGAGCACCAGTAGCGGCCTCGGTACAGATCGTGCACCACTTATAACTAGGAAACGTAGTGGTGACGCCAAGGTCCTGGAGGCAGCCAACACCAACTAGGTTCCTAGAGAACGAGGGGATGT